TCATTTCTCCAGAATGTTCTGATCTGTGTGCCGTCCACTAAGAAGTGTTATTATGACTCGTTCACATAACTACCCGTTTCACACGAAAATAATAAAAAACTTACTGGTTATTCGCCTTGGTAAAATCGAAGAAATGTTATATCTGATGTACTTCCTTTGTAAATCTCAAACCTTTCTTCTTAAATTGCCCTTTTCCAATTTCGTTATTGCTGTTTTGATCGAAACGCCAGCATCGCCATTTTACTTTGACTACAGCTACGCAGCACGCACAGCTACGTACGTTACGTTGTTTCTTCTTCGGTTGTTTTTGTCACTACATGGAGGCACTACTAGAAACAGCGCCATCTAGTGGACACGCCATTTAAAACTTTAAGCAAACTCATGCTTCTCTACTGAACTAATGACCTTTCAGTGACCAAACTATGATTTAAAACACTGTGGTTTCCACTTCATATTTAGGCCATCATGTAAAACATCCTGACAACCAGGTATTCTCATTTTTTGAGTTTGTATTTTTAAAGGTTCAACTATGTATAGTGATGTTTTTGTTAAACACAAATTCTGAGGTTTTTTTTTTCCAGTCAACCTTTATTTAGAGGTTTAATGAAAAAACCTATTGTATTATTATTTAATAAATACTGAGTTTTATTCCCATATCCACAATTTCTCCAGATGCCTAATCTACATTAACCTTAATTATAGTATCCTGATGCATGCTCAATAATCCAGGTAGAAAAATCCAAAAAAGTTCAATCTGGTCCTCTGGACATTCAAAAAAAAAAAAAAAAAAAAAAACCAAAGCAAAAAAATCTAGAATCATTTCGTTTCTCATCCAAGAGGAGGAAGTCTGTTGGATGAGAGACTAAACGATTCTAGATTTTTTTGCTTTGTTTTTTTTTTTTTTTTTTGAATGTCCAGAGGACCAGATTGAACTTAATTATAGTGATTGTAAAGTATTTCTTAGTATTTCTTAGTGACAGTATTAAAGACAAAGTTCATCTTGATGGAGCAAAAAATTGTTACTGTGTAATATGCCAGGGCCAAAACATGAATGAGGTCATTCTTGATAGAGGCCACGTTAAGAATTAGGATTGACAGAAGTATCATCTTGATCTTGTGTCAAAATATTGAAGAGAGCCGTTGCAATCAGATTCATTATGCCCAGATCATAAATAAAATTTAAAAACACACAAAAAATGTGTCTAATTAAATGATCCTGCAGCCAGTCAATTTCCAGAATATACAACCTAATTACTTAGTGAAGAGTTACCAGAACAATAGCTCATCTTTATCCAGACCATGGAAAAGTGCTTCGGTTTTAGTGTTTGACTCTAAACACCCAAATGTTTCGGCAAATTACTTGGAAAAGTTATTAGCATGAAGCAAAATATAATGTCACTTCCACCTAAAACTGATTACAAAATAAACACACTGTTTTAAACTTGTAAAACACAAAAGTATAATAAATGTGCTGGTTTATAAAACAGATGTGCAGAGTTCAAATTAGAAATGTGAACACATGTAGCACTACTGAAGCCTGACATGTGTATCCTCTGGTACCCATCACGGGGTGCTGCAGCATTGTTGGCACCCCAACTTCACGCAACCTCATCCTTATCCACTGAGAGGTTAAACTGTCTCTGATGTATACCATCTCACAAACACTGCAGTCTACAGACATTTGCTTTTTTTATGCAGAAACACGAATGTTAGGCTGACTGGTAACTTGAAATTGTCCCTAGGTGTGTGTGAGAGGATTGATTTTTTGTTTTTTTAACTCGTTTGTCTCTATGCGTCCATGTGATGGACTGTAGACCTGTCCAGGGTGTACCCTGAAGAAGCGGGGGAAGATAATGGATGGATGTATTTTGATTGCATGAAATATACAGTTTAATGGTGACCTGCTGTGTGTTGAGTGATCAGCAGAACCTAAATCACATTAAGCTACGCTCTAACCAATTAATAGCATTAGACAAAATTTCTTGCTAGATGTCATCATTTAGTTTTGTTCAAAACTAAACACTAAAAGAATAATGTGCATTTTCTTATAATTTAGCAGAAGTGATAAAAAAAAAAAACTCTTTTAGAGAAACTAGCATTACATTTAGTTTAAAACTGTAGATTTACATTAACTAGAAAAATAATGACCACTATTCTTCAGTTGTATGATTTGTACGTTTCAGGGCATGATTAAAAAAGATCTGGTCTTTGTATCACATTTTAAAACAGTTAAAAAGTCTAACCTCAAGTGTACAACACACCACGTCACTATTTCCCAAACAAAAATTAAAAAGCTGTGTGAAAACTACCTCCTGTTATCCAGCAGCTTGTAGAACCAACTTTAGCAGCAACCACTCTCACTAGTTACTTTTGCACGACTTCGGTCTCTCGCATCAGAGTGGAGGAATTTTGGCCCACTCTTTTTAATTTCTTTAGTTCATTGAAGTTTGCCAACATTTATTTCTGAGCAACGCTCTTAAGGTCCTGCCCCAGTTTTTTGTTCAAACTGAAATCTGGACTTGTACCGAACCGCTGCAACACTGATTCTTTTTCTCCCCATAATTCTGTTGTCCATTTGCTGCTGTTTCACAACCAAATTAATTGGACTGATGTCCTTACATTTGACTTCATATTGACTCAATGACTGCAAGGTTCTCAGGTCCTGTGTCTGCAAAAAAAAAGCCCAAATCATCACCTCTCCAGCCCCATAGTTAGTGTGAGGTGTTGGTTTTTGTCCAATGTGGCGTCTCTACTTTGGTCTCATCTGTCCTAAGGACCTCCCTCCAAAAGCTTGTGGTTGGTTCAGATGCAACTTTGCAAACCATGTTTGGTTTATTAATTTTTTAAAAGAAAGAATGGGGCTTTCTCCTGCAGCCCATCCAAACGAGCAGTTTGTTCAGTCTTTTTTCTGTCTGTTGACATGAACGTCAACATTTATTCTGCTGAGGCCTGTAGAGTCTGAGATGGAGATACTGGGTTTTGTTGTTTGTTCTCCTTAGTGTATCTGCATCAGTGCCTCTTCCCTGTGGGGTCCCACAAGGTTCGATTCTTGGACCCCTTTTGTTTTCACTCTATCTGCTCCCTTTGAGGTCTATCCTGAGAAATGGTCTTTTATTTCATTGTTATGCAGATGATTGTTAGATTTATCTGCCCTTAAAACCCAAGAGTTTCTGCTCCATTCACCCAGTTAAAATGTCTTGCTGACATCAAGGCATGGATGGCTTCAAATTTTTTAAGTTTGAACGATCAGAAAACTAAAGTCATTGTGTTTAGCCCTAGTTCTACCACCGTCTCTGATCCTGTAAATCTTGATTCTCTCCAGCCTTATCTTAAGCAGTCTGTTATGAATCTCAGGATGGTTTTAGACTTTTACTTTTAAGTGTAATAAACAAATCAACACTGCTCTGCAGAAAAAGCTTCTTCCAGTTAAGGCAGATAGCTAAGCTTAAGTCAGTGTTCTCCAGATCTGACCTTGAAAAACTAGTCCATACCTTTATTACTACCAGACTGTAACACACTCTATGTTGGGATCAGGTCTCCATTTCACATCTCCAGCTTGTTCAAAATGCTACAGTTCAGCTATAAACAGGAACTTGTAGGTTTGATCACACCAGTTTGATCCTCCCTTCACTGGCTCCTGTTCCTAACAGAATTGATGTTAAAACTCTCCTGTTGACCTATACTGTAAGTGCCTTAATGGCCTTGCACTCTCTCTGACCTACTTCAATCTTAAGTTACTTCTCGAGCGCTGAGATTATCTGAGCAGCTGCTTTTGGTTGTACCAAAAACAAGATTGAAGCTCAGAGGAGATCAGGCTTTTTCAGTTATGGGCCCCAAACTTTGGAACAGTCTGCCCCCCCAACATTACAGGCCACTTCACTTCCTGTTTTTAAATCTCAGCTAACATCACATCTGTTTTCCCTGGCTTTTCAGTGTGACTTTATTTAGTATTTTATTGCTCTGCGTTTCTGTTTTTCTTTTGATGCTTGTAATTAATTTTCAGTACTATCATTAATTTTATAAATTTTTGTTTTCGTCATGAAATTACTGTTAAGCACTTTGGTAACAGCTGCTGTTTAAATGTGCTTTATAAATAAAGTTGATGAGACTTTCTCAGTGCATTACACTGTCTGACCTTGGGGTGATTTTTCTAGGACATCTGGCAACGGTCTTAAAACATTTCCTACTTATGACAATTCTTTCAGTCAGTAAAATGTTAGACTAACTTCTCCCAGACTGATGGACAGGAACAGATGCTTCTCTAAGATCACTGCTGATGATTTCCTACTGTGTGTTAAAACACGCCTGTATGCTCCAGAGCAGCAAACTGACAAAACTCCTGCTTTTATAGATTTAGACAATTTTAGAACCTGGAAAAAAAAAACACAGACTACATTTAGTTTGTGCTGATTTGTAAAACCTTAGAACCAAAAAATATAATTTAATAAATGTCTAGACACTTTCTGTGTGAGAAAAATCATCAATAACCTTGATGACTCCAGTGGGTTTTTATTTTTTTCACTTCTCACAAGCAGGTTCTGTTTAGCCTAACTGTAACGTGGACCAGTGAGAACTCTATTTTGACGACTCTCGGAAATATCGAAAGAGAATATTAAGACAATAACAACAATAAAAGATGTCCTCATGATGTATGACAGTTTGGTCAGGTGAAACGTTTCACCTTCTTCTTGCATTTCTTGTATCCAAACATTATTTAAAAAAAAACAAAAAAAAAACGAAAAGAGCCTAAAAATGTAAACGGTGAGAAAAGAAAACGACGACAACAAAAAGAGCACCAAACACAAACAGAGACTTGGACAGAAGTAAAAAGAGACTGAGAGGACGAACAGTTCAGTCTTTAGCACCAGAACACATCCCCACCGTCAGTCTGGAGATGAGAAGGCAACCATGTACCACAGTGAAGGCAGTGCTGCATTCAAGTACTGTAGGTACCAAAATATTCAACTCCTTTAGTTCTGTCAGTTTACAGAGAGGAGGAGTTACTTATCGTCATCATCCACACTCTCCCATTCCTCCACCTCGCCATCCTCAGCATCTTCGTGCACGTATTCACCCCAGGTGTCATACACGTGCTCTCCATCCTCCTCCTCTTCATCATCGTCATCTTCCAGCAGGTCTCCTCCATAGAGTGGCTCATCCTCCTCCTCCTCCACTAATTCCATCTCCACTTCATTTTCATCCCCCTCTGCTTCTTCTTCGTCATCATCATCGTCTTCCTCCTCCTCCTCCACGTCTAACCCACACACCTCCCCGTCCTCCACCTCCCCGTCCTCCCCCTCGTCCCTGGAGGAGCCGGGCGTGGACGCAGGTTTCCCTTCAGTCATGTCTGTGAGGTAGGACCTGCTGGAGGGGGTGAAGCTGGAGGTAGCGGTCTTCGTGTTGATGTAGAGGCGAGGAGGCGGCTCTCGCCTGGACAGCTCAGTCTGGCTGGGAGGGGAGCCGACGGGAGCGGAGGACGAAGACGACGACGAAGATGAGAACGACCAGGAAGAGGCGGCTCCTCCAGTGTCTGGGACCAGTGAAGGCGAGATGGGTGCAGCCACGGCTCCAGGCCTCATGGAGGCCAGGTTGGGCGCGTATTCACGGATCTCCCCCGGCTCCAGCGGCTCGGGTCCACATGGGTCATGCTCCCTGCAGGACAGCTTGCCGTCCAGTTTGGAGATGAAGAGCATGCCGTCCCGGTGCTGCTTACAGTACGAGCTGGGGCACATCTCACAGAACGAAGCTGCTTCTTTGCCACATTCATCACACTGGTGCCACGGACACTCCCATCGGCCTGGACACAAGAGGAGAGGATACAGCTGAACAGGAAATACAGCCTTTGATTTAGGTTGATGAAAGATCTGAGCTTTCTGTCAGAACTTCAAGTCTTGCTGTATTTGAATCTTGAAACGTAACTGGAATATGAAAAGTCAAAACTTTTACTGTCGCTTCTTGTTCTAATAACAAATCCTCATCAAAGATTATAGATTTGAATTAACTTCAGACAGAACAGAACTCATGCTGCTCTACCAGAACTCTGACTACAGCAGTCCCTCGCTCTTTCGCGGTTTTTCCAAAGTAAGATTGTCAACTTTAATATTACTCACGTGATTGGGACGGTACGGGACAAAAAGTGAACAAAAAAATAAAATAAAAAATTTGCACAGGTGCCGCCATTTTGTAGGTTTCTTTCAATAAGCCTACACTGTAATGCCAGTCAAAAGAACTACACTACCCAGAAGTCAACAGTGCTTCCAGCCACTGCTTTCTGTAGAAATGGAGGGAAAGTTTTGAAACATAAAAGTCAGAAGTAATGATCTATCAAAGTTCATGCTCAGTAATCCAGGTATAAAATCCAACAATGTTCAGTCAGGTCAGCTGGACGGTTTCTTTTTTTGTGCCGAGACGTTTCGCCTTCCATCCAAAGGGCTTCATCAGTCTGAGGAAACACCAAACAAAACTGATTCTCCACCATTTTGACATGACTGTCGACAAGGGAGAGGGCAGGCACAGGAGGAGAGGGTGTGCCCCAGAGACCTTCTTAGCACCAACATAACTACATTTTTCCACTTTGGAGTATGCTGTTGGTGGAGAATCAGTTTTGTTTGGTGTTTCCTCAGACTGAAGAAGCCCTTTGGATGGAGGGCAAAACGTCTCAGCACAAAAAAAGCAACCGTCCAAATGACCTGACTGAACATTGTTGGCTCTATCTAATAATAATAATAATCCTGAATCTTCCTGAACCTCAATTATCCACGTGCACATCAATCTGGACGGGGTGGTGGGCTTCGTCGCTGCAGGGTAGGTCTGCAGAACCAGAACCGAGCTGCTGCTCTGCAGAGCTGGTGAGTAAAATTTTGCAGTACTGCACAGTACATATATATATGTTGTTCAAATGATTAGGTTTAAGAGTTTAAAAAAATTGCAAGAGTGTGGGAAGGGTTTATAAAGCCTTAAAATGTATATTTGTTAAAATAAATAAAGTGTTACTACTTTGCGGCTTTTTACCTACCGTGGTGGTGTTTGGAAAGTAACCCCCAAGATAATCGAGGGACTGCTGTATTGTTTAATAGTTTAAAATATATATATATATATATATATATATATATATATATATTTTTTTTTTTTTAACTTAAGTGTCATTTAATTTCCAGTTTAAAGCTGAAAATGCAGTTATCCCATGTGTCACCAAATGCACCACCTGAGATAAACCACTCCCAGCTCATGTTCCTTTTCTTCACTGTTGGGAGATTAAGGTGTTTTCCAAACCCCGGGCCGACTTGTGACAACATTTGGACCAAAATAAAGACTGTCAGCTACGCGTGGACTGTCCTCACGATTCAGGACTAATGAACGTAACTAGTGTCTGCACGTTACGCCCTGCTGAAAAGAAACGTGAAGAAAAGTGATTTGGTTTAGCAATCCTGTTGTAATAAAACCACTGAACATGATGGACACGTCATTACGGCCTCAGAAAATCATGTCAAGCTGTGAAGAAATTAATTTAGCTGATTCAGAAAGACAATAAATACCTGCAGGTCTCTTGGCCAGGTTGAGGCAGTCAGCATGATAGACTTTGGGACACCCCGGCTTCTTACAGGAGACAATCTGACCCCCGTCCCCACAGCTGAAGCACTCATCTTCCCTCTCCTTGGTCACTTGCTGCTTGGTCTTCTTCTTCATGCCAGCTTTCCTCCTCCCGTCCTTCACTTTTATCTTCTCAGCTGGCGGCTGGTTCTAAGCAAAGGAGAAGAAAACAGCCACGCGTACATTCAGGTTGCAAATTCAGCCAAAGCTAATCTGAGGGATGGGAGACTTGCGGTTTAGGATGAAGTTTTACCTTCGGTCGAACACCCAGGAAGCCGCTACAGTTGGGCGCTCCACATTTACAGACGGTCTTCCCATTGCCAAGACACTCCAAGTTGTAGTTGAACGTCAGCTCCACACCTGGAACACGTTTCAGATTCATGTCCAGAGCATAAATTAATCAAATGATCTGCAACAGCCAAACAAGCTGCGCTCAAACCTTCTGGGATGTCCTGCAGAGCAAACAGGCCAACCCTGGTGTCCCCGTTCACCGTCCACTTCTGAGTCTCACAGTTGGGCTGGCAGCAGTGGTTCATAAAGCGAGCCTGGTTCCCTTTGGGTCCAGCATCAATGATCCGGTCCTGAATTGAAACAAAAAGAGCAGGTTCAGTTTGTAGAGATCACCTAATTGTCACTATGAATCCAGTGCGCTGCAGTTGGAGGATCTCTGGCTCAGGATCACCTTGTCCAGCGTGAGCATGTAGAAGTTACAGATGTTGTTCTCCTGAGCGTGTCGGATCCTGGCTCGACATTCTTCCTCGTCAATCACCTCTCCCACGTACTCGCTCACAAACGCTCCCTGAGAGGCGAAAGAGGGCAACGTTGAAACAAAAACGTAATTTCTTAAGAATCGTCACTTTTCTTCGCACCGACCTTCTTGATGTGCGACACGGCGCGTAAGCCCCAGCCGCAGGACAGCGACCTGAAAATGTCCACAGCCGTGTACTCGCGCTTGGTGAAAGCCTGGTTCTGACAACGCTCGCCTGCCGTGCACACCTGAGGGTGGCACTCGTACATCAGCATGCGGTTAATGCACTCCGAGTCGACGCCACACGGGTTTTCGTCCGAAGACTTGCAGTTACAGCGCGGGATCTCGGACAGGTCGGCCGTGATGATCTGCACCTTCCCAATGGGCCGGTTCACCTGAGGACACAGCAGCAGGTCTTTCAGCTCGTCTCAGTCAGCGGCTACGACAATTTACATCTACTCATAATGGACATGAATGTTTTTTTAAATTTCGGCTTGTAATGATCTATCTGAACTGGGTTTCCGAACAGAATGATTAACACAACTTCAACTAGAGAAACTGCATTTCCTGCAAAAAGGCAGTGTGAATGTTTAATGGTGAAGAAATGCTGAAAACAGCTGAAATGTAGCTGACATGGAAGAACAATCCTAAATTACCAGAAGAAAGCAGAAAGAACACATATTTGCTGAATTTGGTTTAAAGAAGCAGACATGAGCACAAAAATTAGGAAATTAGCTAAAAAAAAAAGCTGAAATTAGCAAAAACAAATCTAAACAGTAGCTGAAAAGGCAGAAAGAAGCAGAAACTACCAGAAGGAATGAGAGAGAGCTGAAATGAGTTAATAAAATATGGAATTAGTTTAAACAGCTAAAATTAGCATAAAAACAGCTAAATAGTAGCTGAAATAACAGAAACTAGCAGAAATATGCTGAAAGAAGCATAACAAGCTGAAATTAGCATAAAGACGTTAATTAGGCTGAAAGTAGCAGAAATTTCCACAAAAAAATTGCATTTATCAGAAAACAGCTGAAATTAGCTAAAAATGTAGCTGAAAAGGGTAGAACTGGCTTAAATTAGCAGAAGAAAGTAGAAATAACACTTGTTTGCCCAATTAGGCTGAAAGAAGCAGAAATGAGCACAATAAAATAGAAATTAGTTGAACCCCACCCACCCCACCCCCAGAAATTGGCAAGAAACCGCTGAAAAGTAGCTAAAAAGCAGAAAGAAGCTTAGATTACCAGAACGAAGCGGAGTGAGTACGTTGTTGCTGAATTAGGCTGAAAAATGTTGAAATAACTGCAAATAATGTGGATCTAAAATTAACATAAACAGCTAAAATAGTAGCTGAAATAGTAGAAAAAGCTGAAACTTGCAGCAATAGGCTAAAAGGACTACAAGGTGAAATTAGCAGAAAGAAGTTAGAAGAAGCACAATAATGTTGCAGTTAACCGAGACAATCTGAAAAGATCACAAAACAACTGGAAAGACAGCTGAAATTAGCTGAAAGTAGCTGAAAAACTGTCTAAATGTGCACAAGGAAGCTGAAAGAAGCTGAACTAGAACAAAACTGAAAAGAGCAGTAAAACCTCTTTTTTCAAATATATTTTGACTTTATGTATTCAGAAGATGCTGCACTGTTTTGTTGTTTTTCCTTCAAACAATGCCGATAAAGACTTTAAGTCTTTAATCTCATGTAGAATTGTTTGAACTGATGATCTTTGAACGTGAAGTCGTTTAGAAATAGCTCCAGGGGGCTTTAAATTTTTAAGTATTGGTCAATCCAATAAGCGCTGACAAACAAATCATTTTTATGCTGGCAAAGAGAAACTACCAGCTGGAATTATGAGCACATGGGAGAAGTTACCAGGTCCATGTCAAGTTAAAGCACCTTCTGCAGCACCTATTAACAGATTTAGGTCAACGTATGCATGCGTGTGTGGATTACAGAAAATCCACTATAAATTCTAACTTTTGCACCCAATTCTTGTTTTTAAAAATTCCTGAAAAATACAACGAAAAGCTCAAAACCAACATGACATTCATGCCCAGGATGAGTGTATGTAAACTTCTGACTGCAGCTGTATAAGCAGCTGTTTATGGACCTTGATGTGTTTGTACGGAGGCGGCTTCTTGTCGTTCTTCCTGTCCTCCTGAAGCTGCTTCATCTGCTTCTCCGCCTGCAGCTCCCTGAACCGTTTTGCGGCTTCCGTCAGCGCTTCAGAAACACAAACGCGACACAAAAATCATACCACTATTACCAGGACTCACAGCAGAGCAGGAGAGGATTCACAGTTGGATACTTGTGAGAAACACACACCTTTCTTGTACACTGCATCTGCACCTTTGCCCATTTTCTCTATGTTGTGAGTATCGCCCTCCATGTAGGAGAAGACTCTGGCCTGATACGTCCACACAAAATCTTTGGAGCCAAAGAACTGCACGGGGAACTCTCCCACATCGTGTTTCATCCTCAGGATGTTACTGGGGACATCTTTGGTCAGACAGACCTCAGCAGGCCACCATCTGAAAGGGTCAGATCAGGTTTCATGGATGCAGATACGGTACACTAGCTGCTGCGTGGAACTGCTGTGTGTACGGGCAGAGAAGTGTTGAGCCCTTACCTGTAACGACCCCATTTGACCCACAGTATGTCCTTAATGCGAGGTTTCTTTCCGGCTTTGCAGTCGTTGCAGAACCAGGTACCCTGAGGCATGTCAATGTTCAAACACTCCCGGTGGAAAGCAGCAGGACAGGCTTCACAGCACAGCAGACTGCCCCCTGAACAATCACAGGAAGTGGGATTCATGTTATTTGTTGCACTAAATGCTAGTCTTCCACACAGATATGGAATGATGAACATTTTCCTCTTTTAAAAGGCGAAATAGCTGAAGATGTTTTGTATTTCCTTAACCAAATATCATCTTTTTGTTTGGCATTTTAAAGAGGCCAAAATTAGGCAACAATTCCTCAATAAGAGATTTTTAATCCCTGAAAGAAACAAAGAAAAATGTCCTAAAAGCATGATCAGATCATAAACCAAAACCTGCCAAATAAGAGAGTGCTGGGTGTTTCATTTCCATTAGCCGAGGGAATTACAGAAAGAGTCAGACAGCTCAGGTTTTTATCAATAGTAGTGTAGTAAGAGAGTTTGTTTTCATAAAGTAAGTGAACTAACATACATCTTATTTTATTTTATATGGTTTGATTTAGAAGATGATTTGATTTAATGCACAAAGAATATAAAGAAGACGGAAATAAGGATTTTCTGACCTTTGTAGGCAAGCAAAGTAAATATTTCATTATCAGTTCAGAATCATCGATTTTGAGCCGATTCTTCACACCCACAACACCAAAAACCTTACTACAAGTATTACAATGAAGTGAAATGAAGAATGCAAAAAAGTCAATAAATTCTAAAATAAATAAATTTAAAAAAAGCAGGTAGACAGTACTGAAGAAATAGTTTATTCAATCCTTATTTTTGTTGTACTCGCTTTTTAAACAGCTTGACTTTGAAGTAATCTTCTAAAGTGAGTTTGCTTATAATAATATATTGGTTATAACAGTTTTTTAGGCTTGCTGAAGTGTATCAAGTTTTATTTAATTATCTTGGGTGGATCAGATGTCATGTCCCAGACAAGAGAGTTTTTATAGACGTACGGGAGGAGACTATACCATAATAATCAGGCTTTCGACAGGAGTGCAAAAAGAAACAGCCATCACCAGGAGAAAAGTAGAACAACAATAAAAGTAATGTCTGGAACAAACAACACATAAAAAATCTGATGAACAAGACCTCTGAGATGCACCATCATTAGCTAATAATCTAATTATTCATCGTCTGGAACAAACAACACATAAAAAATCTGATGAACAAGACCTCTGAGATGCACCATCATTAGCTAATAATCTAATTATTCATCATCTTCAAAAACAGTCCTGTCAGTGGTTGGTACTGGATGGAAAAAGCAACCCAAGAACAGAAGGAACACTTTAAAAAAACCTTCAAAAAGTCTGAAACACTACTGATGAAACTCACTTTAAAATATTAGAAGAAAGCCTTGATTCTTGGCAGAAAATAAAATGAAAACAAGCAGTACCTCGAGACATTTTAAAAGCAGCTGTTTTACCGTTTTCAACAGCATTAAAAACTAGAACGTTCCTGGAGAAACAAGTGAGTTATAGTCAATATTGAATTTTCTAAGGTAGCTGTGGCAGCCATCTTGATCCAAAATGACTCCCAACATTAATCAGTGTTTTGTTCAAAGACCTCTCCACTCTAGGTCATGTGACCTCACTGTGCCAGTCAGAAGCTGTTAAGAGTTCTGTCAGCGTTTTTTAATGAGAAAAATGGCATCTTTGCAAATCACGTCGCCATGGTAACTTGAAACGCCAACAAAAGTAATATCACACATCACGATGCCAAGTCTTTCATTTTGATACAACATTTGTGTGGGTACACACTGAGGTTCGGGCCGCATTGAAGTTGACGGAAAAGTAAGCTATAAAGTTAAGAAACCCTTGTCAGGTGGATAATAATAGGTGGCTGCCTTACTAGGCAGTCCCCAATATGAATGGAGATCAACAAGGATGCAATTTCCAGGTGGAGTTGTTTCAACAGTAATGGATGACTAAGCAGGAAACAAGACTGACGTCTAAACAACACAACACACAGGCACCAGACCCACCTTCAGAGCAGACGAAGCACCAGCTGACGTTTATGTGTTCATGGTTTTTGCAGCCTTTGCGGGGAGTGAAGTGGTTTGGACACAGGAAGCTGTTGTTGGCGAGAACCAGGCTGCCTGCTGCCATGCAGTTATCATTGGCGTGATAGGCCACGGGACAGCGCACGCATCGAGCCAACCGACCTGAGACAACACACACACACTGCTTCATCCACCTGAACAAGTCAGGCAATATGGACATCACTATAAACGATTTCCACACCGTCTTTGTGAGGAAAGATTTTGGGTCCTTTTGTTCTTCGCCTGACATAAAAACAAATCCGTCACTTTGGTAGTTGTTTACAATCGACGCTCACCTTTGGTGCAGCCGACGTTGAGGGGGTTGGCGATGTGGCACGACAGGCACACGTGCAGGGCGCAGCGGAAGCCTTTGTAATGTGGCTGAGTGGCCGAGTAGGCCATGATGCAGTCGGAGTGGAAAAACTTCCCGCAGAGTGGAATGATGCAGCGCTTCACCCCAGTCCCGGCTTTCTTACACACAAAACACGAGTGAACGCCTGGAAGAAGCAGGAAAAAATTGACAACCTGACATTAGCTGAAGGAATGCGTGTCGCCCGCTGCTTCTCATGCCAGAGTTTTAAGGTTAGATCATCTGTTATTGAGAAATAATGGATTCAGGTTGTTTTGGTCAAATCTCAAAAATGCTGCGGGACGGCTAGGGATATTAACGCTAACAGTTTTGAGCTCTTTAGGAGGCACAAAGCAGACCCACCAGTTTTACATTCTTCGCAGAGGAATTTTCCTTTGGGAGCGGCAGACAGGCCGATGCAATGCAGGTGGAAGGCTCCGAAACAGGGGCCGTCACACACCAGCAGCTCTCCAATCCTCTCACACACCTGCAAAACCAGCGAGAGTAACGATCCTCCTGTCACATACACAGGATGTTAACGAAGAGGCGTCAACATTTTTAAAAAGCCTCCATCACCTGACAGACGTTCTCCTTGGAGGTTGCAGCCCCGATCTTCCCTCTGACATCCCCCTGGGAGGAGAAGCTGTCATTCAAACCAACCTGTGAAGATCAGTTTCATCAAATGTTACTGAAGCACCCTGAGAGTAAAGACACAGACGTTTTAACTGAAGGATGCTGACCTCAGATTTAGGAGTTAGTGCCCCAGTGTGTACGTTTTGTTTTGCGTCGGTGCTGCAGGGCTCACACTCGGGCTCCTGTTTGGGAGTTCTGCACCTGCGGGGGCTCGGAGACCTGCTCTCGGACCGTTTGGAGGCTGCAGCAGGGACTGAAGGTGTGCTCGGAGATGGCTTCTCTTTCTTCGATGCGAACTGTCCGACATCATAAAGAGTTAACTTTAGGATGTTTGGTGAAGTAATAATGCGTTTTGAGCGGCTTCTTTTTATTACCTGAGATTTCTTCACTAACATCTTCACCTCTGTTATAATGTCATTCTGACGCTTCTGGTCCTGGACATAAACATGAGAAAACATGTTTTTTTTTTAAAGCGAAACAGAAAACTAACCGCAGCAGGTTTTATTTCTATCTGCATACCCTCTTATTCCCAGAACCTGAAACCACTTCTTCTATGGTAAAATCCAGCAACTTGAGCGACAGCTTCTTTAACCTCTTCCTTTCTTGAATTATTGTTCTCATTTCTGTAAAAAATAAGTGAAATGCAAAAAAATAAAAGAGACAGGTAATTGGATGATGATGTCATTAAACAGATACCGACAGACTCACCAGATTCAGGAGGTAGATCAGTCTCCTCTGCCGTATCAAAGCAGGGTTGTGTTGTGGCAGGGGATACCGCTGGCTCTGCAGGGGAGAATCTGGAAAGTTCTTCCCGTGGAGGACTCATCTCGACCCGAGCCTCGGCAGGCTCTACTGACGAAGGGTTCGAGGCGTCGGACACCTCTGTGGGGCTGAGTTCATGGAGTGTTGTAGTCCCTGAAGTCTCCTGAACAATAAACACACAACATGAAACACCACCTGAGGTAAATGCTGCCATTCAACACGTCTGTTAAGCTGTAAGTGAAGTTTCACGAGGATGCACGTAGATCTTCAGTAGTACGGTCTGCAGCATGAATGAAATCAAAAACTGAACAAATGATACACCTCATCTCCAATAAATCTATTTTACAGTATTCAAGTTGAAGATCATGGGATTAATAAGGTTTTGGTGAAGTACAAAGTGTTTTAAGGTGACAGAAAACACACAAAAAACCCCAGTCAGGTGTGCATGGTATATCAAAAGGTATGCAAAAGACTAAAGTATACTTTTATAAATGTATTACTGACATGCCTTAAAAATACACATTAAATACAGCTTCAACAAATAATTACAGTTAACACTGTATAAATGTGCAGCCTATGTGGGTTCCTCTCAGAGCTGAAAAGAGAGCACATTTCTTTTTAATGGTGGAACAAGCAGAGTATTCCTAAGTAATTTTATATTTCTTGTTATTTCCATATTTAAAATACCGTAGTCCCTCGCTACTTCGCAGTTTGACTTTCGCGGACTCGCTCTTTTGCGGTTTTTCAAAGTAAGAGTGGACATGACGCACAGTCAGCTGACTCATGGATGAGCCACACGAGCGGCACAGATTTGTTCATTAAAAATAAATTATTTTAAATGATTGAGCACCTGTGCGCAGCCCACAGGTGCAGGGAGAAGCTCCCTCATCATCTCCATGTCATGATCTCTGCTCTCTGCCACGCCCACATTTCTCCTCCGTTCTGCTTCATGAAGGGTTAACCCTTTGCTGTCCAGCTGCAACGATCGACTTTTGTCTACAAACTTAAAATTCAAAGTATGTCACATCATAAAATCGTCATAATCACAAAATATAAAAGTGTTAAAAGTTGTTTTTAATTACTTTAGAACTTCTATGTTCAGTTGCTACAGTGTAATTGATTATGAAGTACGTTTCTGCTCCGTGAAGGGTTAACCCTCTCCTACTGCACTTCTCTTCTCTTGTACTATCCCTACGTCGTGCTTTTTCACTTATCGCGGGTGTGTGTGTGTGTGTAACCTAAAAGTCGTGATAAACGAGGGACTACTGTGTCTAGTTTTTCATTGAGACTCAGGATTTCAATAAGCTTCATGTGTAATCTGCAGCTAAAACATTATTGCTAAATGTTTTCGTTAATTTCTACTAAAAACAAACGAACAAAAATGTTTTTAAGGTGGAAAAAGTCATAAACTTGCAATAATTTTTTAGTTTGGTTACAAACTTGCATTACAACCATATTAATTGTTTTAGTTTACTATAAATGAGCAGCCACCAAAGCTTTGGGTTGAACAATAACTTCATGGGTTCTGACTGAAGCAGGCCTTATTTTTCATGAGTGTTACTACTCTTTGCAGATGAAGATTATATATATATATATATATATATATATATATATATATATATATATATGGAATATTTTGTATGCTTTGGTCTCAACAAAGAGGCTTTAGGTTCCACTTCTTCATACGCCACAGACAAAAATCAGAGCAGTACAAACACCTAACAATAAGATTAAAACAGAAAATACATCTTTTGATTTTATTTTATTTTAGATAAACTGCAGTAAACATCGAAATTTCCCAGTTAAATTAGCTCCACAGTCTTCCCATTGTCTGGGCAAAATGTGCATCTCGATTTAATTAAGTTCTGTTTACTTAAATATAAATTTACATTTTAATGAGAAACTGAGCTGGAAAATAGCTTTTACAAATTTTCGAAGTTTGTCGAAATCAATCCAAATCTGGCTGCAAGAAAATGGTTAAACTGCATATTTTTTCGTAAGCTGTAATGAAAATTGTTGGAATTTATACAGCGGTCCGTCTCTAATTTGTGATCCGACTTTTTCGGACTCGCTCTTTCACGTTTTTTCAAATTAAGATTGTACACGACAAAAATAAATAATTAATAAAAAAATTTAAATAGATTGTACACTACGACTGTCAACTTTAATATTACTCACGTGATCGAGACAGTACGAGCTACAGTAAAAAGTTAAGAAAAAAAAAACTTGGGACAGGTGCCGTCATTTTGTAGTTTTCTCTTAACAAGTTAACAATGTATCGCTAGTCAAAAGGACTAAATTACCCAGAAGCCAACAGTGCTTCCGGACGTTGCTTTCTGCTGAAATGGAGGGAAAGTTTTGACTCGATCCAAGAAAATTCAGTCCTTATTCATAGTGACTTAGGTGCTCAGTGCATGCAGAGAGCTGTATGGAACTGACAGGGAATTGGACCAGAACTGGACTTTCAGCATCACCGGACAATCTAAGAGCTGCTCGCCGGCCCATGAGGCCTCTCGAGCGTGAGGCGTTGCTTGGAGGTCCGGTGTTTTCTCCGGAGCTCACCGGGACTTTTTTCATCCGGGTTCTTCTGGATTATCTGGACTCGATCGGGACCATCGTGTGGTTCTGTGCTGGCTCTCTGAAGGTCTGGCTCTCTATAAAAGCAGCTTGGTGCTCAACGGCTGCAGAGAGCCGATCAGAACCCCACCAGAACCGGACCAAGGCTGGTTAGTACCCATATAAAATTTTGCAGTAGCTACTGTGCAGTACATATATGTATGTTGTTAAAATTAAAAGGTTTAAGAGTTTAGAACATTGTAAGAGTGTGGGAAGGGTTTATAAAACCTTAAAATATATATAAATACTAAACTAAATATAACATCCCTACTTTGTGGTTTTTCACTTATTGCGGGGGTGTCTGGAACACAACCCCTGCGATAAACGAGGGACTACTTTATTGTTAAATATAAAACATTCAGCAACACGTGAATTAAATGATGGTTTTCAGGATGTTTTGTTACAGGTTGTCTTTTTAAATGAACAGAAGAGTGACTGGTTTGATAAACTCTCACTGAATTATGTCACCTCCACTCTTTCATTTGCGCTGTAAAAAACAAACGCTTCTCACCACTTTGGAAGAGACTGAGGAGTTTTTCTTTGACCTCTTTTTGATTGAAAATATTTGTTCATACTCTTCTGTCGACTCCAAGAGCCTTTTAGTTGGTTTCCGTTGGCGTTTGTTCTCTGATTGTCCTGTGAAAACAAACACAGACGTTATTTTCCTACTCATTTTCCTAAACCGTCCAAGTAAAAAAAAACAAAAAAAAAAACGCATCAATCTAAGAGTTACCGGCAGCGCTGCTTGTATCTGAAGACTGCGAGTCGTTTTCTGTGTGTTTCTCGGCTCCCAGATCAAAATCCAGAGACGTTCGTGTGGAGTAAGTCTCCTTCATCTCAACAGACGCCTCGCTCACAACTTCCTCCTTAATCTCAGCAGCTGCCTCCAACACCTGCCAGCGCTTCTTTGGAGCCAACGCGGTTTCCGGGGTCCTCTCGAGGTAGCTGTTGGAGGGATCAAGGTGAGAATCAGATCCAGGTTCGGCTGAGCTGGTGTGACTGCTGATAAACTCCCCGCCGTAAGCCGGGTCGATCAGGTCCGAAGGGTTCCGGAGTTTCAGCTTGGCAGGAAGCTTCTGTTTTCTCCGCTGCTTGTCGGAGCTCTCGGAGCGAAGAGGAACGTTCTCACAGTGGTTGGCGTCAGCCGCCTGGACAGCTTTAGTCCAAATCTTCACCGGCGTGCTTTTGGTTACTGCGCTTCTTCCTGATGGTCCAGTTTTTATTTTGCTTTCCAAAGCCTCACAGGACCCTTTCAGCGGATCGCTTTGTGTGGACGTGGGGATCACCAGGGGTTCCTCCTTGATAAGGTCAGCCGAAGGTGGGAGAACCAGCGGTTTGCCTTCCCTTTCTCTCGTATCGTGCATGTCTTTTAAGAGCATCAGGAAAGTACTGAATTTATAGTTTGAATCGGGTCGAAACGCAGCCTGCTCCGAGTCACTGTCCTCCTTCGCCAGCGATCTAAACGACAGCTCCTTGCAGTCCTGAAATGTGTCCACGGGAGACAAAGATGGGGAGGGAGCCGATACTTCCGAGGCGACATTTTCCGTCTTGATCCTAACAGGTTGGAAAACAGCTAAATCCTCGTGCTTCGGTTTGGTTATTAAGCCGTTGCGAGTTTGTTTCTTGTTGAGCTTTCTGGGACGGCGTTTTGGAGAGTGCACAAAAGACAAAGTACTGCTGAGCGATTTCCAAACCGGAGACGATTCAGGTTTGATAGCAGCTCTAGTTGGTGTGCGATTACAATGATCAGTATTGGGAGCGTCTGTTGAGCTGTGACTCAGGGCCGGTGCGTTGCCGAGATCAGTCCCCTCCTCTGTTCTCAGAGCCTTGGTCATCACATGGTTGTTGGCAGAAAGGATGTCTGAGTGTTTTTCATTTAAACCGTGAGACGTTTCAATGCTGACCGCCAAACTCTGCTCAGAGTTCACATTTTTAGGTGTCGATTTTTTCGTGGCAACTTTGGGAGAGACCGAAGAACTGGACTGGCTCAGTTTTTTTGTGGACTTTTTAACTTTTACAGGATTTTGTTCCTTTCTATCCATATCGCGTATTGGAGAAATTGCTGTGCGTTTCGGACGGTTCAGCATTGGAACCGAATCCAGATCAGCATAGGGCGAGTCCTTTGGCTCCTCTTTCAGTGCACTTGTTTTGGCGTGAATCTGGCCCGCCGTGTTCGAGACAGCAGAGTCCTTCGAGCCGCCTACTATATGAGCAAATATGTCCGACAAACGTTTCTTTTTCTTCCTGACAGCTTTGCTCTTATTGGCTGGAACTGTAGAGTTTTTGAGAAGATGGTGGCCATTTCTGTTCAGAGCCAGACTGGGCGATGGAGGTTGAATACAAACGGAGGGGCTTACAGGCTTTTCGGCAGGAGGAGGGCTGGGTGTACGCTCCTCTCCGTTTGCAGATGCTGAAAGTGCGCTTTCACTATTCCTTTGTCGAAGAGGGAGCAGATACTCGGCTTCGGCAACGCTGACTTTCCACGCAGTCGACAAACTTTTAGGAATCTGTCAAGATCAGATTTAAAACTCAGAGTAGAGCTCACAGTATAATCATAAAAAATAATACTAATAAGTATTTTTCTTTAAATTTACCGTGTACTTGTACGTCTTCTCTTTCTGCTTCCCTCTCCGTCTGAGGACCGGGAGCTCCTCGAACTGATGTCCCCCTTCAAAGGGAACAATGGCACTTCCCGGGACCCAGGCACGTTCCACAACCTCCCCTAACGTCTCCAGATAATACATCCGACAAGGACGGGAGCTTGGAACTGAAACCAATAAAAAATATACATAGAACTGAAAATACTTTGACAAAACTGGAGAAAGTTTTGAATCAAATTGAACCACTCTTCAACGTCAATGATTGCAGCAAAATAAAATTTACCTCAACCTTCATTTAGGTATCAACTACACACCTTACAGATTTAGTGAGTATATCCTAGCAGATAACGATGCTACAAAGCTGACAGTCTGTTCTCCAACAGTCTGTTTGACAAAGCTCCACGGACAGTTTGCCAGTAGGATACAAAGGTAAAACAAGTTCATCTGATCAATATTCACATCCAACCTCACCTTTCATCTTGCTATGAGTCTCCTTGTCTGGGTCACAGGTGACTTGGCAGGGCCACCAGGGCCGTCTGTTGAATTTTGCCCAAACCAAATCATCTTCCAGAAATTTCACAGCAGGAGGAAGCCTTTTCTTTGGACTGTTGGACTAAACAGCACAAAAAAACACACTTTAATATCTGAATAAAAGACCTCTAAATACCAATAATACAGACCCGAAGAGCTAATATTTGAAGTTAAAGGTGAAGTAAACTGTGAAACTGGGGTTTTGTGGAAATATTACAAACAGGTAATGCCACACTTGTTAAAGATTTTGAGAAATAAAGTTTAATTCTGACCAGACCGGTGAGCGAATGGCTAGTGGGAGCAGAGCCAGAACCAATATGGATACTGCCGTCTTATAACACAGCTCTTTAATCAAAAGCTTTACAGAAATTCATGCTAAAGCTATTCTAGAAACCTGCTGTCCATTTTGTGTTTCAGGTTGATTAATTTAAATTTCATGATTATTTACAAATAGTAAAAGCGGCAGCAGCTAGCTGTAGCATTGCCAGTGCAGCACTTTCAGACTTGAGTTGTTTTAAGACAGCAATAAAGTAGTCCCTCGATACTTCGCGGTTCGATTCGGACTCACTCTTTCGCAGGTTTTCAATGTAAGATTGTACACGACAAATGATGGGCGATGGGGAAATACAGACCCCACCTCGCCCCCTTTTCTCTTTCTGAGACTGTCTGTGTCTGCTCTGCTGTGACAGCCTCAGAAAGAGAAAGGAGGGGGTGTGGTCAGTCGTTCCCCATCGCTACTGCTCAGGGGGCAGGGATGAACAGATCAGATGAACAAATGTTGACTATCGGAGAAAATGCTTACCGGTAGGTGGAAAAAAAAAGTGAATCAGTTTAAAAAATGAGAGCGTGGCTGACTCAGGTAAAAGACAGACCCCCCCACCCCCCTCCTCCTTTCTATTTCCGAGGCTGTCTGTCACAGCAGAGAAAGAGAAAAGTGTGTGGGGTGGGGGGTCTGTCTGTAAGTCGCATGAGCGGCATGGATTGTTTATTTAAAAAAATCAAGCTCGACACGAATTGAGCCTTTGGTCCAGCCCAAAGTGGGCCAGGCCACCGGGAAATGTCCTTGTATATCCATCCATCCACGCATTATCTTTACACACTTCTTCCTTTTTGGGTTGTGGGGGTCACTGGTACCCATGTCCAGGTATCACTGTGCAAGAGGTGGGGGACACCCTGGACAGGTCTCCAGTCCATCACAGGGCCACATAGAGACAAACGAGACAAACAATCATTCATTCTTTCACTCACACCTAGGGACAATTCAGAGTTACCAATCAGCCTAAAATGTATGTTTTTGGTCTGTGGGAGGAAACTGGAGTACCCGAAGAAAACCAACGCAGCATGGTGAGAACATGCAAACTCCACCCAGAAAGGCCCCCGGACCGGGATATTTGTCCCTGTGTAATATAAATAAATACTAAAATAAATATGACAACCCTAATTTGCGGATTTTAACCTATCGTGGGGGTGTCTGGAACGTAACCTCTGCGATAACTGAGGGACTACTGTAATCCATATTGGTCCCGGCTGGGCTCCAGCTTACCGTTAGCTTGTTAAACTGATCAGAAATAAACAATTTCTCCATAGTGAGATAGTTTAAAAAGCTATCTAAAACAGGTAAAATATTGATTGTTCATAATTCCACAGAAACACTTTTTTTGTTTTGAGTAACAACAAATGATGAAACAATGTTCTCTCAGTTTTACCTTAACATTTAAACATTTTTACATTTCCGGCCTCTGTTTTCTGAGAGCTATTCTTTTAGGTTTCGTTATTTGAAACTATGTTACAGGCACACCACACAAAAAGACTCTACTGATTTCATCTGCATACAAACTGTACAACAATACAATTAATATTGTGCTCACAATGGAGCACAGTCAAAAGCGGCTGAAATTAAACATAATTATCGATATGTGTTAAATTTCTTGATTGAACTACATGACACACATCTGGCTTTGGTTGTACAGAAGTTCTGAAACATGCCTCCCAGGTGTTACAGACTTACATTAGAGTTGGTGAGAGCTGGCGAGATAAGTCCAGGATCAACAAGAGAGGTAAGTTCAGCATCGCTGCCCGATTCCTCGCCCAGATTCCACCCGTCTCTCATAGTGATTTCTGGCAGTGCGCTGGGGCTTAGTGTAGGGTTGAGTTCAGAAATCGTTTTGGACATTAGGTTAAAAACTGTAGGCTTGTATGTTTTCCTGTCCACACCCGAGCTGCTCGTGGTTTTACTCTCAGACACAGTCCGGCCCTGACTCGAGTTTGGGAGAAAAGGTTCGAAGTCCTCACTGCTCTCCTGCTCTCCATCCTCCTCTTTAACGTCACTGCTGTCAAACAGAGTGGACTCAAAATGCAGGTAGCCGTTCGGGATGGGGGAACAGCGCTCAAAGCTGTCGGGGCTGTGAGGTGGGGAGAAACCGTTCCGGCTCCTGTCCCGCAGAGTCTGGAAAGGCTCCGCGTCGCCTGGAGACGGAGGCATCTGGACCAACGGCGCTTCAAACTCGTTGTCGTCATCGTCGCTGATGGGGCTCGTGCAGTGCAAACTGTTCCGAGGGTGGAGGTCTCGATCTGGGTCAGGTCTGTAGAGTGCTGCGCTCAGGTGCTGTGGCCTCCTTTGCGGACTGTAGCAGCGAAATTGCTCCGACTGGTTGTAAGTCAGGAAAGCAGGCTGTTTGTGGCTGGAGGGTGACAGCTGCAGGGCTGACGACTGGTCCGATCCTCTCTTCACAACGCCACGCTGGTTTCCAAAGGAAGTGCTCACGGGGCTGTGGTGGGGCCTCAGCTCTGGCTGGCTTGAACCAAACACTGAACCTGCCCTCAGACCCGGTCTGTAAGACTGATTCATGTTGTCATGCCTTTATCCTGTCGAGGAAAACAGAGGCAGGGTCAGACAAATGATCGCTGAAACTTAGAGATAACAACACAATATGTAGGAGTGGATACATCACAGACTGAAAATAAACATGTGGCTGCAGTTAAAACTTTACTTCATCTCATTATGGGCTTCAATGTTTTATTTATCGGTACTATTGTATTATTATTAGGTGGCTTGAATGATTTGAACGGTTCTTTATTCCCAAGGTGAAACGATTATGAAACATGCAAGAAGTGGGTGCACAAGTTTGAATTCATTGCGGATTGTCTCAAACGTACAAAGGATCAAAATGATACATACAGCCTAAATACTATACACCACCATTAATATGTGCTTAAGCGTCCCCTACCAAGTTGCATCTCAACCATGGGCTCAACAAGCTTCTGCATAATTTTGGCGTGATGTATGACCACTCCTCTTGGCAGATTTGGTAACGCCAGTTGAAATTGGTTGATTTCTTGGCAAGGACCTGGTTTTTAAACATAATCCACAAACTGTCAATAGGGCTGAGGTCAGGGCTTTGAGAAGACCATCCCTGAAGCTTAACGTTAACCTGCGTCATCCAACCAGAAACCATTTGTTTAGGCTTATCGTCCAGTTGGAACACCCAGACGTATCCAGATGTCAACTAGCGGCCGCTTTAAGGTGAAGTTGGCACATTTAAAGTTAACGCTCTAACCCCACAGCACGATGCTACCACCACCATGCTTGATTGTTTGCAGTGTTTGACATATTCCTTCTCATCGTAGCCAGAAAGCACAGTTTTTGTTTCGTCTGACCATAAAACTTTTCTCCAGAAGGCGTTTGTCTTGTCCGTGTGGGACGCTGCAAATTTCGGTCAGCTTGCAGATGTCACCTCTTATTTTAGTGCACACCCTCCAAAACAGTGGTTCCCAACTCTGGTCCTTGAGGAACACCATCCTGTATGCTTTACTTGTCGCCCTGCTCCAACACGCCTGATTCAGTGATTTGATTACTGGGAGTGCTTCCTCAAGTTCTGCAGCAGCCTGTAAATCACCCTTTTATTCAAATCAGGTGTGTAAAAGCTGGGTAACAACTAAAGCATGCAAGATGGTGTTCCTCAAGGACCAGAGTTGGGAACCACTGCAATGTAAAACTAGCCTCATTATGGACAGAGACAGTACTGTTCCAGCTGTTTAGCTCTAACCATCCTAACCCATTTGCTTTCACCTGAGGGTGACAGACGAGTACTGGTCAACCCAACAGGATATGTCAAACAAACACTTGTTATGCTAGCAAAGAAACTCATCTGAGGTCAGTCATGATCACCAATAAGAAGGTAATAGGCCTTTGAGCTAATGTTTTTATATATTTGAGAGTGAACCCCATTAAACAAAACTGCTGTTTTGCTTTTTCACGTTTTCATAGATTTACCATGTCCCGAATGACTAACAATGTCCACCACTGTAATTCAGACACTGTGGATTTAAGATAAAAACACAATAAACTCAAACTTGAACGCCCAGATTATTCAGGCTCTGTTGTTGAATCGTTCCAACCTGAAAAAGAGTGGTTCAAATGAATCATTAAAAAGTACTAAATTAATGACACTGGTGTCCATTAGGAGTGTATGTAAACTTCTGACTACAGCTATATAAACAGGCATAAAACACACACACACACACACACACACACACACACTGACACACACACCATCAAGTGAGATAGCATGGCCTCCTTTAAAGGCCAGCCGGACGGGAGGAAGACAAAAACACTGACCAGAACCACTGAAGGCGTTTCATTTCCGAGTTATCACAGAACATCTCGGTTGTGATGGCTCGGTTCGGGTCATGGCGGAGCTGGGTGACACTGAGCGCCTCTCACAAGCAGGCTACAGCCGCACACACACACACAAAACAAGGCTCCCCGCTCGACTCTTTAAGTTCACCGCCGTGTCAACACGTGGGGAATAAAGAAAACTCACCATCTGGAGGTCGGTCCGCCGAGAAGAGCGGATCTTTGAGAATCATGAGCCACAAGGCGCGAGGGTTTCCTCGGGTCGTGGAGGCAGCAGGTCTGCACAGTCCCAGCTGCAGATGGTAGGCCCAGGCTGAGGCTCAGCAGCAGCTCCTCTCATTCTCAGCACTTCATCAGCGGCCCTCTCTCTATCCCCTCTTTCTAGAAAGCTGACATCTTTAGGCACCAAACAACAAGGAAATGCCCATCTCACACAGCCGCTCCACTCACAGAGCCACACGGCGGGTTATTTACTACATGGTTTCTTCTTCCTGTGCGGTGCTGCTGTCGAAGTGCCCCCGGTTATGTTAAAACAAGCCCAGACTGACTGTGTTGGTGAGCAGCAACCAATCGGCTCTGCTACCCAACCCCCCGTCTGCAGAGGGCCGTGACACTCACCCTACACACACACACATATACATATACGCGCACGCGAAAGCAAATAAACGTGCGCGCTATGAAAATCCAGGTGGTTACAGAAAATAACCCGTATGAATAACCATCATGATTAATGAATGTCCAAGTTGTTTTACGCGTTTCTTTCTTTTATTTTTTGTAAAGGTTTATAATAAGTCGACTGAACAAAATGGGTCCGAGTCGCTTATGAGCGCGCGCGCGCACGGCCTCTCCGGTCAAACCGAACTCCGTGCGCCATGTTGTCTCTGTCTCAGACATGAGGAAACGAACAGGCCGCTCAGGAAGACACCAAGAACCAAATATGAGTTGTAACACGGTTGTAACCCCGAGAGCCGCCGTGTCCCCGCGCCTACACGAGTCATTCACATTTAGAAGGAAACTGGCGCAAAAAAACCCCCGAAAAGAATAAAAGAAAGTTCGACGCAGCGGCCCTGTCGGCCCCGCTTTGAGGTTTACCGACCAAAAGAAGACCGCGCAGATCAAACACGCCGACCTGACGGAGGAGAAACTTCACTGTTTCTGTTCTTGAACGTTTCTGAGCATAAAAGCGAGACAAAAAGAAAAGTAGTGGAATGAAATCTGTCAGCTTCGAGGTGTCGTGAGTTTACACGAAACTCCGGCTTCTATTTTAAACCGGCTCGCGTGCCACACCCTATTGTGTATGTTATTGTAAGATTCGTTATTTATTATAAATAAAGGTATAATTACATAATTGCTATTGTTGAGAGGCATGCGCCCCCTTGTGTCTGTGTGGAAATGTACCCATACGACAGGAAGTAGGGGGGAAAGACTTCTGTGGCCCGCGAAGTGTTTGTCTGTTAGCAAAATATCTCATGAACCAGAGGACGGATTTTATTGAAACTGTCAGGAAGTAATCTCTGGGTGTTTATCTACAAATGGTTTAGGTTTGAACTGATCCAATTCAAGATGGCCGCCTCAGCGAAAATGGCTACAACTCAGCTCACTTGAAGACTTAAGAGCTAAAATTCAGTGTGGCTGAGCATCATTCCCACCACAAACTCTGGAGTGCAACATATAGAGCAATGCCTATATGAACAACCTTGTCTGTTAGCAAAATATCTCAAATCGCTCAGATTTTACTGGAACTTTCACAACATGATCGTCGGATTGAGGTCATTCTGATTCTTGTTGACCATCGTGGAACAGAATGAACTCATCACGGATGACTCCAACTCAGTTAGTTTTACAGATGGTGAGCTGGTTTGATGTGGTAGTAGCTGAGAGTCATCCCCAACACATCATGAGATCTCACAAGGTTTGCTCAAAGTTGCTACACTTTCTCATGAAATGATCTGTTTAAAACTGACATGAAAGGTGATGGGTGATATGTATTCCTTAAAAAAAGACAGGCTTTTATTTATTATTATGGTTTCACATACAACACGTTAGGGTTTACTTTACAGTCTACATTGCATAAGGTTACTATGTAAAGTTGTTTTTTTTTTCTTCTAAAAACAATGATTAATATAACAACAGGTACATGTGGAAGTGCTTATCATGTGAGATTGAGGATAAGAAAAGACAGAAATGCATGATCAAAACTATATTTACAAAGTGCAGTAATAAGTACCAAATACTGTGCTCGAAGGAATAGTAGATTTTATCAGTTCAAGCTAAAAAAAAGGTACGAACTTTAGCTTTGGTGCTAAGAGTATATCATGATATAGAGTCTACTTGACTACAAATAAGACAATAATAATGGTTGTATTGTTGTTATCCTCAGAAAAAAAGAAGTTGCACTGTTTTTTCTAGGAAAGAAAGTTCTAACATGTACAGAGAAAAACATGACGTTCAGAGTAAAATGAAAAAAAAAATGATTGGGAGGATACAGAACTTAGCTTCAGAACTGGAAACTGACTTTTTTTTTGGGGGGGGGGGGGGGTCAATACTGATGTGTTAATATATAAGCATGCATCTAACCAGAACAACGAACGTTAAATCAGTTCACTGTAAAGTAAAACTACACAGTCGTTTTAAGTGAGAGGAAGAAAAAAAAAAAGAAAAGAAATCTCAGCATTTTTAGAAATGTTTTTCTCCGTCAACCATTCGTTGGAATGCTACTCGCTGCTTTCGTCCACCTTGCCGCTGGGCTCGCAGAGGTCTCTGCTCTCCATCATGGTGTACACAAACGGAGGAACGTCGCAGCCGGTGAAGTCCAGGCTTTTGGGAACGCTGCAGGTGCTCAAGTCAAGTTGTCTGGTGCCGTCGCAACCCAACTGCAGCTTCTTGAGACGAGCGAGGCTCCTGAAGCTGCCGGGCGGCCTGCCGGGGCTGACTTTGTACCCCGCGGCCCTGGTGGTCCCCAGGGGCCTCCCTGGACTGGTTTTGAACCCAGCCGCTCTGGTTGTACCAAGCGGGCGTCCAGTGCTTGTACGGTACCCTGCCAACTTAGTGGTACCCGATGGCCTGCCTCTCCTCCCTGACTTCACGTCGCCCTTCTTTCTCTTGGAGCCAGCAGCCTCAGTGGTTCTGATTCGCGTGGTCTGTGGCTGGAGGTCGCTCTGGGAGTCGTGCAGCTGACATGCTACAGCTTTGTGCAATCCCTGTGGTAAGGGGGCGAGGCTGGCAAGAGACAGCTGCAAACCAGGGCTTGTCGGAGAGGTGTAAAACTTGTCAGGTTGTGTGCTGCACAAATCAAAGTGGCTGGCTGGATGAGAGTCCTCTGCCAGTTCACCCACACAGTAATCACTGCTGCTGCTCACTCGATGCATCATTTCCTGTGGAGGTGCAGACAAATGTGATCATTAGGAGGAAGAGGCCACGTGGAAATAAATGTTAACTACTGCCCCGTTATGTCGTTACAACATTAAAGTTGGTTGAAGTACACTTTTAGTCATTAAAACTACACAGTTCACCAATTATAATACAAATAAGATGGTGGCGTAAACGCCTCTCTGTCTAGGACGTAAACGAACAGTTCGTACCTCATTCTCTGTTGAATGTTGTACTGAAAAGGGTTCATTTTGACTCGTTTCTCATCTCTGTTAGCATCAACATCTTCGTAAAGCCGCTGAACGAACCGAGGCCTGCCGGCTCAGTTTTCTTTGGAAAACACTGAGAATTTCTGCTGCTTGTTTCAGCTTCGATGAATCCTACGGGTAGGTTTAGACGAGGGCGGAAGCCATTTTTACGGCGAAAAAAAAATTATAACGGTAGAGCCAACCACGCATGCGCAAAGATGCTTCCTGGAAACGCAGCGGCAGATGAAAAAGTGACGTAAATCTCCCAAATCAAGGACCTTTCTGAGTCTGCAGCTTCACAGTTTAAAAAAAATTTTTTTTCGGTTTTTAATGCACTGGTTTAAAATGAAAACATTGTCTATCTCTAGTTGTTGGGTTAAATTATAGTAAACACCTACTGTTGAATGTCCCAATCAGTAAACAAATAAAAACAGTCTAAAGATGGTAAAAGTAAATTTGTATGAAGAAAAGCTTAACAACCATTAACTGAGAATGAAATATATGTTTATTTTTAAATAATTTATATGAATGTAGGTACAAATAGGTAAGTGTAAATAAATGTATATATTTATGCAGATATGTATGTATAAGTACACTATATTTGTAATGATTTCTTGCATAGTCTTATAGCTAACATCTAAACTACTGCATACTGACTAAATCAATGGTTATATCTTAGTGTACTGTATTTAGGTCTCTCTTGTAAATTAGTCCTCGAGACTCAATGAGCTGTATAAATAAAGGCTGAATGAATTATTACAAAATGTGGAAATCAATCAACCTTTATTTATACAGGTAAATCCCATTGAGCCTCAAGGACTCATTTACAAGAGAGACCTGATTTCAACAAAGAAAGATGACAACATGACAACAGCAACAACAATAAACAGTTATAAGAAAAACATACTATGGTTTTTTTTTTTTTTTTTTTTTTTTAACAAATAGGATGGCTAAAAGGAAAAGGTAACAAAACAAAAAACAGCTAGATTCCAAGACAAATGTAGAAAACTAAAAACAGGAACATGTCAGCATTGGACCCTGCCAGGTGTCCAACAGATTCTTAAAGACACTTAGAGAGGTCAAGGTCGAGAGCTTCAAATCTTTTTGTAAGATGTTCCAGGAAACAGGAGCGGAGTAGGAGAAGGCCCTTTGCCTAGTTCAGTCCTCATTGAGGGAACACTGCAGGTAATAATGTCCTGAGAGTGCACGCTGTAGCAGCACTCACGCAGAGACATTTAGGAGGAGATGTATGAAGGCAGCAGACCAAGAAGTGATTTAAAGATGAAAATATACCAGTGAGAGAGTCTGCGTGAAGTTAATGATGTCCAGTTAACCAGTGAATACAGGGTGCAGTGGTGGGTACGATAATCACAGCCAGTTATGAATCTTAGTGCACCATGATAGACAGCATCCAACATCTGCAGGGTTCTTGTAGGAGCAAAATATTTTCCAGATTTAAAAAAAACTATTTATTAACCTAAAAAAACATTTAGATGAAGAAAAAGTTTGTACTACAAGTGTTCATCCATCCATTATCTTCAACCGCTTCCTTTTAGGGGCGTGGGGGTCATGGTGTGTGAGAGTAGAGGACACCCTGGACAGATCTCCAGTCCATCAAAGGACACAACCATTCACACTCTCACCTAGGGACAATTTAGTTACCAATCAGTCTAACATGCATGTCTTTGGTCTGTGGGAGGAAACCAGAGTACACAGAGAAAACCCACATGTGCACAGAGAGAACATGCAAACTCCACCCAGAATGGTCCTCGGCTGTCATTCAATCCAACAACATTCTCACTGAGAGGCAACAGCTCTACCAACTGATCCACCGTGCAGCCTATACTAGCACTAATATTAACTAGATGAAAATAAAGAATTAAAAAAATATATTTGGACATACTGTATGTGCATTGTGTTTGTAAGTATACTTTGTACGTTGGATGGCTGTTTGAGACAAATGTTCATACACCTTAAGTGTGCATATATTGGTGTGAGGTGAAAATTCAAACGAGATATTAGTATATGTGTCAGCTGGATGTAACTTGTTCCTGAATGGGTTTCTACGCAAACATATTCACTTGTCAAGTAGCCTTTTCATAAGTTCAAACGTTCAGCCTCTCATTACGCTCGACAACTATAAACTTTTAATGGAAGAACTTTAGTTCACATCCAAACACTTGCTTCTGCTTTTAATAAGCTTTTTCATTTATTTATGGCAGTGTTTATATTTACTGATGTATTTTGATTGCTTCATTTGTGCATAACCAGTCTAATTGTGTCTCAACAAAACTAGCCTGGATAAATAAAATAAAGATGAATATTGTATTTGAGTATGTGGTTAAATATTCTTATATACATTATATATGCATTTAAGTAGATATGCTTTATTCAACATAGGCAACTACAACTATCAGGGAAAAATTGTATTATGATTTACTTAATAGGAGCAGTAAGTTTGCAAACTTTAATAATTATTTTCAAACACTAGATTTCTCTTGGTATTGTAAAGTTTAATTTTGTGTGTTGTGGATGGAATTGCTATCTTATGTTTATATAATTTTGTTTTCTTGTTTTTTTTCCAACATTTGAAAAATACGTCTTGCAGTGACTCTCTACTGTTTAAAATAGGTGAATGCAAATGATCCAAAGACAAAAAATGATCCTCCATTTTTGTAGTTTTTATTAACATCTATAGAACTTAAGCACAAAACACTGGATTAATGAAGCAACCAGTGCTTGGACAAGTAGGAATATCAATCTGTCAGCATCTCCTCTGATGGTCACATTTCCAACATGAAGTCCACAGGACTTAAGCCTCCTTGATAAGCTTGGTCAGCTTCTGGATCTTTGTTTTGGTGGACATGTCCACATATCTGTCTCCAATACTGACAATCATGCCTCCCAGGATCGACGGATCGGACTGCAAGGAGGAAACGAGTTGAAAATACAGAGGAGTCAAAAATATTAGATAAAATCACAAGACTGATTCTGATTATTTTTCAAACACAAAAAGTAAACGTCAATGGCTGAAAGGTTATTTGTACATTTATGGGATCATGCAGTGAGTGAAACCGCACCTTTGACTCCAGCTTGATAGTTTCACCTTTCTGTAGAAAAGCTTTCAGAGCTACTTTCAGTTCAGTAAGATTAGCTTCATCCAAAGGCTGAAATGAAACAGGTCACTGGTTAAATGAAACTATATAGACTGTAAAAACACTTTACAATGTCCCTATCTCAGAGAGTGATACAAGCTGCTTTACTTATTTAGAAGTATAGGAAAATAGGTTACATATCAAACAGTTACAACACACCTGAGCAGTCGTGACCGAACAGATGACCTCTCCACGATGTGCACTCATCATTTTGCCAAAAGCACTGATAACATCCCCAGTTAGAGGAAGACGACCATTATCAGCCAGAACATCTATAGAACAAAAATTAAATATGTTCAAGATCTACGTTTGATGATGTATGCATAATACAATATACTGTATACAGAGGACCATTATGTAATTGTTGCTTTTAGAAGGTACAATACTGGCATCACTTCTGCATCCTCTCCTCTTAACATGCTGATATTTCAGTCAGATGTTACATAATGCTGTTTTCCAGCACCATGACACTGTTTGCAGAAAAACATCCTCATGGGGGAACAGTGAGGCATTATTCTCTTAATAGTCACCTAATTTTTAGGTTCATTAACAGCTTCTGAGCTCCAACATATTTTAACACTCACTACCAAGCTACAGTAGTCACCCACCAAATCTTCTTGATCAATTTACCAGCCGATAACATTTATTCGTAAATTATGCATAATTAGATGTTTCCTCCTTTGTGTTAAGGTAGGAGAGATAGAGAAGAATGGATGCATTATACTATAATTGAGTTGTTGTTTTTTTTTTGCACTACATACAGAGATATTTGGATGCCAAATAAAATACCTGTAAAGCACACCCAAATTATTAACAGTAAGGAAAGAAAGATTGTGACAAATAATCATTTTTAGATTACGGTCGATCAGTAAAAATTTTAGTTTGAGGAAATTCCAATATTAACACTATATAACAAACACAAAATAAAAATAAAGACTTTATAACATAATGGTGATAAAATATTAAGCAAACCCATAAATAAATGCTTAAAAGCAATTGAGCCATAGTGCCATTATCAGGGATCACTTACTGATGAGGTTGACAGTGATGGGTGAAACCTTGGCCTTTGAAAGAGCATCACCAAAAACCTTCTGCTTCATGTTGCGCTTGACATGAGGATTCATTAAAATACTGGACATCTTGGGGTCCTTGATCAGGGTCTGATAAAACAAGATGGCACAGAAAATTAATTTATACCCTGAAGGAATGTTAAGTCATTGCAGAAGCAGTGTAAATTACAAAAAGTAGACCATGGCCAGATAGTTTAAAAAAAAAATGCACAAATCGTACTTTAAAAAATCCAAAGTCATCCAAAAGTATGGGTCTGTTAAGAACGTTTTCAAAAAGGTTTAAATTATTATAACTGAAAGAAAATCAAAAGAACCATCCTGATGCATGCTCAAAAAATCAAAAGAACTTTTGATTGATATCACGATCATGTATCTGGGTTCAAGACCGTAAAGTTACAGCATTTTAAATTTCTGTCATGATCACCGACCTGAATTTCCATTGAACAGTTTGAAATTTGTCATCCATAGCAAAAATTGTCATAATTTCTATTAAGTTTTAGAAATGTTCAGCAAATGTAATTTAGAAGTGATAGCCCTGCCAGGTAAACAAAATAATAATAATCACATATTCAGTGGATGGAACCAAACTTGCAGCCGAGTCAGCATTGACAGTAACAAACCTTTTGCAATATTTAATATTTATATCACCTGAGGAAAAAAGTTTACAGTGCTGATTTTTAGACTTACAGAAAGTTTTCCCAACTCCTGCTCTACTTGGTCCAGTTTGTTCTGCTTACTGGCAGCTGAGAACAGAGCAGTGGCATAGCGACCCTCCACTCCATATACCTGGATGGGAGGCTGGAAAATAAAATAAACAAATATATAAAGTAAATCAACTAAAATTGACTAAGTGTTTTAGATACAAACTGGTGATGCTTAGGCGCAGATTACCTTGACCAGTTTTGCTACAGGTCTGACCACAGATGTGCTGAACTGACGGGCCTAAAGGAAAAATATTTTGTTAAAAACATTTTCAAAACAACCAGAAAACCAAACTTAAGCTAATAAACAAGTGACGCTGTATGCGCCGCTTTTACAAGAGCAGTTAGCTTGATGCTAACGCGTTAGCAGTCATTCAAGTGCAACACCTCGTGTACGTTTTGTAAATATTCAGCTAAACCTGGTGGTCCCCCAAACAATTCTTGTAATTAAAACATACTTTTATGCTTGAATAGTATCGACTGTAACTTCAATAAAATCGCTTATAAAATGTCAAATGTATGAATGCCTTACCTGCTGTCCTAGCATGAACGCTGCCATTTTCTCCTACAGCTGTCCAGAGTAGAACAAGCGACTGCGCATGCGCTATTGAGAGGAAGACGATTTACTTTGGGTAATGTAGTTTTTCATGCGAACAAAGATCAGATGGGAGAAAAAATGTCAAGGTCGAGACCAGAAACGCTCAAAAGCCTATTTATTGGGCTTTATAATTAAAAAGTATAAATATTCAACACACAAAATGTATTTTATAAGCTAATATACAATGAATAAGTGTTTAGTTGTTACAGTCGATCATGACTGTTAATAATTTTGTCCAATTGGGATAGGTCTCATACAGGAAAATACAAATATACGGGAATTCAATACAAATTTACTGGTCGTCCACAGTAAGTCAACATGTAATAAAAATACAACGTTGTAGGTAGATATACGTACACACACGTCAAAATAACATTAATTGTAAATTATCATGAATTCCATCCATCCATCCATCCATCCATCCATCCATCCATCCATCCA